ATATATATATATATATATATATATATAGCATAAAAGTTATTTTGAAATGTTAATATAATAAAAATATTTAAGGATAATTACATACGGACCATCCAAAACATTGGTATTTATAAGCACATAAGAATTGTGCATGCTACGCATGCAAATTTCCAAAAAAACTCTTTAATATTCGCCTCAACTACATGACGAACCAACTGTTTAATACTGAATCATAAAAGCTAGCTAGCTCTGCGCTTTCTCCGAACATGTACAGATTCTAAGCATCCATGACCAGTGGAATGGATACAGATCAGAAGATCATGTTGACAGCATAACATCCAGCTTCAAAACACTTATTTTTACCATGAAACGACGATCGATCCTAAAAAACAGCCACGACGATGTTGAAATTTTTATGCATGGAAGCAAATCAGTGGAAGAAGAAGCAGAGTACCAAATAGAAGGATGTTTTAGGAAGAGAAGCTGCAGAATATGGGGAAGGTCGGGGAAGCTGGTGGCTTGGATGTGTAGGAAGATGGTTAGTCCGTTGGTGATTCTGGAGGAAGACATTTTCAGAGTTTTTGTTGTATCTGGAACTGAGTGCGATTTGATAATGGCGTTCATAGTCGTGATGGATAGGATCTGCAAGAAGCTGCCTTTTAATTTCAAGACGATGTGTCGTTGAAGTGCCACTGATGTGTTCGGAATTTGGATATGTGTACAGATGCGAAGATTCAATCAAGCTTAAATAATTTGTTGTTAATCAAGATTTCTAAAGTCATTAAATTATCACCAAAGATTAAAAATAATGTTTTATCCCATGCCATACAAAGATGATTTAAACAGCTACTTAATAATCCCAGAAGAGAGGCAGCTAAATAACATGAAGTATGAGCAGAGACATTAATTAGCCTGGATGATAACCACATGACCATAAGCCAGCTGCTAAAAAGTACTATTCTGCAGTCTGTAAGGTTGAACACACTGAAGAAAATGATACTTACTAGTGGCAAATATGGGAAATTTACATGCATAGCACACAATTCTGATGTATTTACATATCTCACACCTACACTTCAATATTTACACACGTTCTTTAAATTTATGTATTAAAATGTGTATTTGACTATTAAAAAACAATAATAGTGCTATTTTTTAAGTGATATTAAAGATTCAAAAGCTATGCGAGTAAATACAAAAGTTCAGGTGAGAGTTGTGAAAACACATAAGAATTGTGTGCTTTGCATGCAAATGGCCCAATCATATTATGTGAAAAGGAATCGATATTCTTCAGCCTCGCGAGCCATTTCTTCAAATGTTCTATCTTTCCTATCAAGGTCCAGATCCAGCGACTCCTTCAGCTGCTTCTCCTTCATATCAATCTGTTCAGTGATTGTGTAGAAGCTGAAGAACTTGAACGCAAATTAAACAGAAAAGTGGTAGGAAAAAAAAGAAAGAAAATTGGCTTCTTACAGCATCGTAAATTTCATCATTTTTCTCAAAGTCGCCGCTTTTCCTGGGGATAATGTGGATGTGCACATGAGCAACTGTCTGTCCGGCCTGAGGTCCATCCTGAATGTAATAGAAAAATAAGAACTTTTTTCACATTGTTGTAATATTTGATGGATAAAATGGTTTCTCAAAATCTATCAAGATATATTCAAGTACAACGAATTTCAAAACAACCTTATGATTTAAAATATCGTCTGTAGAGAAGTGCAACTTCAAATTTCAAATCTAAGCCTCTAACGCATGCGTCAAGTACAAGTTACAATTTCAAATCTAAGCCTCTAAGCCTCTAACGCATGCCTCTAATACACAAAAGATTTCCTAATGAGCACAGGTTTTCAAATTTGCATCAAAATGCCTATGTTTTGTAATATACAATGTATCTAATGACTTTAATACAACTTGGTTTGAGCTATAACTCATTTAGAATGGTGTGTGTCAAAAATATGTCTATACAATGTCCCGTAAACATCTGTGGATTTCCCATAAAGTGAAAACTTAGAAAACGGAAGACTTTAACGGCAAGGTTTCAAACATCAACTACACTTAATGCCTTAACAGAGATGATGTCTCAAAAAAGCAAAAAACTAAAAAAAATCCAAAAATATAAAGATTTAATAAATCTGCAACCCAAAAACAAGCTTAAACTTTTAATATATCAAAAGACATGACAATTCAAAAATAAAATCATCATCTAAGTGACAATTTTAATTGAACTATTAAAAACAAAATTATCAAAAAAATAAAATAAGTTGGTTTGTTCTTGGGTGAGTGGGGAGGGGTTAAATGGCATTAGATGACCTCAAGTATAACATTTTAAAGCATTCTCAAAAGATAAAATGAGAAATTAGAAGGGAAGGATATTTAAAATGAAAAACATCTCAAATGTATATAAATATTATAAGAATGTAACAGAACACAAAATAATTATCTTATTCATCGAGCAATTTAAGCTTGAACATAAAATGGTGATCCGCTCATAAGGACTTGGCCATATAAAAGGCAAATTGCAGCTCAGGACCGTATTGCTTCGTTCCAAAGATTATTCATGTCACCAATCCCCAACCATATCGTGTATTTGTCCTATATTGATAGCCATGTTAACATGAAGACTATAAGAAGTTTTCGAAAAAAATAAAATGAAGTGTCAAAAATAGTCCCCTAACTATTTACATGGAACCATTTTAATCCCAAAGTCTATAGAAGTGCCAAATTAGTCCCAATACTTTTTAAACTGGGATGACTGTTTCCGTTCATTTTTCTCTTTTTTATTTTAGGAGTCGTCAGCTTGTCGATCATCGTATACTTCTCTTATTCAAATAAATCTCCCTCCCGAATCATATTAATGATTCAAAGAGGAGAGGAACCGAATAAAAAAGGACATACAAAAAATGACAAACAAGAGAAAAAGTAAAACGTGGAAGGTTTACATGCGATAAACTTCGCAATGAAAGGTCAAGAATGTTTGTCCAAACAAAATCAAGTGGAAGCACCTTAAACCAATATCCGCGAAAGAAATATCTACGTAGACTACCCATAACCAGAGAGTCAGGTGTGTATACCTATTTTTGGTTCAAGAGCTTTTGTTTCAAGAGCACTCCCAGAGGAACGTATTCCTACTGGTTAATTACATCTTGGGGACCCAAGAATACTCTCGATAAAAGAAGTTTCGCTTCATATTATCATAAACCTAGGGTATAGGTAACCAAAGAAAGGTTATTTCGTGTGGGGACAGTCCCGATGCATCAAAGCCCACGCTAAGTCATCAGACAAAGAGTGAGTTTCTCACATCCAAAATAAGTAGCGACTAATCAGCACACGGGGCCCACGGAATAACCTAAATCATCTTAACGGGGATATCCCAACACGTCAAAGCACGTCCGACCCATAAAGGCAGAGGACAAATCATTGTATCTCAAATGAGCGACAGTTCATCGGCATCAGGCCGTCAAAATGATATCGACGAAGTCAAGAAGCTACAGAGCTTAAAGGGGCTTAACAAAAAGAAAGGTAGAGTGATCCTCTAAGGTAGAGGTAACTGGGTCGGGGTAGCATGGTTCCGTCATTCACAGCTACTAGGACCCTAAGTCTACCTAGTCGTGAAGGTAGTCGGTCCAACACGTCTTGAGATCCTCGGTCAGCAATCTGTGAATTATGTCATCCACGAGAACCACGGTAAGGTCAAAGGAAAAAAACTCTATCCTATGAATACAAGCTGGAGCTCCAAGAGGTGGGACATATACCTGTCGAAATAGCAAGGATGCCTCAGTAAAAAAAAGATAGAGGTTCAGCTACAAAGCTGGAAACACTCCAAACAAAAGGACTTATACCCCGTCTGGGTCCAGGAGCCTTCTACACCCTATGCGCACTATACAACCACCTATATGAAGGTATGTTGCGTCAGTCAGGTTGGAGAAATACGGGGACTACTCCTCGGGACATGCAAGTATGATGCAGTTATCTATCACATTCCTAAGCGTGGAGGCTCTATTAAATATGATTGGGTCTTGACCATGCATGCAAACCATTTTAAAACCGGCCTGAAAGTCATGCAGAAAAAGTAAAGACTGATTTTGAAAAATCTTGAATCTTTTAATCCTAAAATTTTGATTATCTCAATCTTTTATTATTAGGATTTTTTTTTACATAGAAAGAATTAAAAATTTAGGGTCCTTAGTGAGCCTAGGTTGCATTTTCGTGAGGTCCAGATACACAAAAAGAAACAATATAAAACGCTCCAACATGCAAAGGCATACGAGAAGAAAAAAAGAAAGAAAGCACCCCAAAAGAATATATAAATAGGTCAAATGTCGTTGAACCGACAACATAATCCAGTAAAAATAATAAAAGCAGCTGGACTCCGCATATACATGCCTGGTCCTAAGTCTATACAAAAATATAAAATTCGGACTTAAGTTACGGGACATGAGCTGCTGCTTCTGGTCCTCACATGATTGATGCGTCATCCTGCTCTAAACTCATGTCCGTACCTTATTTCCGATACAGACTCTATACAGACTCTCCTATATACAGACTCTCCTATGACTCTATCAAATACATTTGAAATAGAAAATAAAGACTCGACCTGCATAAAACAAGTGTTAGCGGGTACGCTATGCATCGCAAAAATAACAAGCCGTGTCTTATAACTGAGGGGAGCTAAAGAGCACTTGCAAGCAAAGGATTAGAAATCATTACATGCTCCCCCTAATAACATCTGTGTGAATGTGTATAAATAGGCACGACACCTACAGAAGATCGTCCTAATATACTATCACACACAAGAAACATGCAAACACACCGAAAAAATGTCAGAATATGACACATGGCTAGCACAAGACAGCACAACACACAACAATAGCAAGAGGTGTCAAAAAAATATTACCTAGAATCCTAAACCCTAGCCTAGCGCATCATCTAACGACAAGTGCATCAACCTAGTATCTAAGTGTGGGGTAAGTCTGGGCATGGTATGACTTTGACGGGGTCACTTTACTGGCCACATTCTAAGGATCCAAAGAATATAAATGGTGTCACGAAAGGAGATGACACCAATTAGATCTATTGGATTCTTAGCACAGACATACTCATGTCAGTCCCGATGACTTAACTCGCATTGTTCATCAAAATTGACCCGGCAAGCAATGCTCGTTAAGACATCGCGACCAATACGGGAATCACTCTCCTAACGGGTCTGACTCTTTATCCATGCGAACATGCAAATGCAGATGATTAATCAAAACACACAAATGATGAGTGTGTCATGAGGCAGACTCAAATGAAGATGAGCATACCACAGTAGCAGCGGCCCGAAAAAGATGGGAATGTTATAGTGGTAGTGGTCCTAGAAGGTATGCCGATAGGGGCAGTGACCTATAAAGAGTAGGCATGTCGTGACAGCAGAGGCCCCAGGAAGATGAACATGTTGTAGTGGCAGTGGCCCTAGAAGGTATGCCGATAGGGCGGTGACCTGAAGGCAAGGGCCCGAAAAAGATGGGCAAGTCGTGGTAGCAGCGACCCCAGAAAATATGCAACTCAGGCAGATGATCATAATCATGCAGACATACAGATACAATATGGGATGCAATAATATATTCATACATATGCGCCACAATATGCGAAAATACAAACACACATGCGAGACAATATGATGGTGCAGGTAGTTGGTCGACTGGGTTAAGGAATCTGGTCGAGCTGAAGTGTCACGCCAACTGGCTCAGGAAAACCGATTGAAATGAAGTGGGATGACCGTCAGGCCAGGGCGGCCGGATGGAGCAAAGTGAAATGCTCGCCGGGTCGGGGCGGCTAAACGGAGCGAAGTGAAGTACTCGTCGGGCCGGGGCGACCGGTCGTAGCGAAATAAAATGTTCACCAGGTCGGGGCTGCCGGACGAAGCGAAGTGAAATACTCATCGGACCGGGGCGATCGGTCGGAGCGAAGTGAAGTGCTCGTCGGGCCAGAACGGCCGGACAAAGTGAAGTGAAATACTCACCTACCCGGGGAGATCGGTCGGAGCAAAGTGAAGTGCTTGCCAGGATGGGGCGGCCGGTCGGAGCCAAGTGAAATGCTCGTCTGGTCGGTCAAAGCGAAGTGAAGTGCTCGCCAGGTTGGGGCGGTCGGACGAAGCGAAGTGAAATACTCACCGGGCGTAAAGTGCTCGCCGGGTCGGGGCGGCCGGACAAAGCGAAATGAAGTTCTCGTCGAGCCGGGGCGGCCGGTCAAACGAAGCGAAGTGAAATACTCACTGGGTCGGGATGGCTAGACAGAGCGAAGTGAAATTGTCGCAGGGCTGGGGCGACCGAACGAGGTGAAGTGATGTGTTATTTGACATACAAAATGCAACATGCAAAAATATACATGTAATAGGGAGCCACTCCCGTGCTAACGACGTTGCCGGGGAACTTAGGGTCAATACATAAAAAGATGGCGATTGTCATCTTTGCTTTGGCGAGGCAAGTGGGAAACTTCTCCCTAGATCTCCAAAGGGGGAAGTTTTCCACCTCGTCATGAAACGGGCTAGCGGCAACGCTCTTGCCGATTTCACGACGTTTTCAAGCTTTGCA